ATACAGATATGAAAAACATGTATATCAAATCCAGATCTAAAAAAACCTGCGAAAAAGATAGAATAATAAAAAAAACATGAGACAAAATACAAAATTTTATATAAAATTTGGTGTTTTCAAGCAAGGAGATAAGAGTGGGTTTAGAGAGTTTTACTTTGGGAAAAAGATAAGAACTTTATGCAATATGAGTAAAATGAAGAAAAATCATACATAAAAATTTACCCAAACGCTCAGATATGTTATGAAAGAGAGAGACATGGAGAAGACTCCGTCAAAAGACTTTTTGGAAGTCGTCTGGAAGACTTCCTAGAAGTCGTCTGGAAGACTTCCTGAAAGTCTTTTAGCGCACTATATTTTGGACGACTAACATGTAAGTCGTCTTAGATCTGAAAAACCTGCATATCCAGATTTAGATCTGAAAAACCTATATATCCAAAATCATATAAATGACTTAAAAATAGAGAAAATGAGTGGAAGATTAGATAAATCTACTTTTCTAGAACACACAAATATACATATTTTAAATTAATAGATCTACCTTTAAATGAGTGAGAGATGAGAACCATGTGATTAAAAACCTACAAAACAAGATAAATTAGTGAGAAAGACATGAGACAAAAATAATAAATTGATATAAAATTTGGTGTTTATAAGTTCAAAGAGATTAGAAAGAAGTTGGAGAGCTTTAGAGTGATGAACACAAAATTTTGGTTACAAGCATTTGAGAGAATGAGAGAGAATGTGTAAATTTTTCCTTACATAGAGAAAAAAAATCTAATTAGCTTAAATATTATTCATTCAGATGACTTACTCGTTTTACCTGTAAGTCGTCCAGAAGATAGATGACTTATTTGTATGTCGTCCAGAAAACTTAATATATTTAGAGGGCAACCAGAATATTTAAGCGGGAAAATAAACTTAGGCGGGAATATTAGGACGATTTACATGTAAGTCATCTGGTTTAAATTATTCACCAGATAACTTACAAGTTAGTCGTCTAGACCCTAAAAATAACTTCTAAACTTAATTAACTAACTAAATACTTCATAAAATCAAATTAAACGTAAAAAATGTTTACTACGCACAAAAATAAACACATAGATAAAAATTTAATTTTTCATAAAAACATTCAAGCTTTCCAAAATCTAACTGTAATAATACATACAATACTACAACATATGTTGTCAAAATATAAAACCAAAAAATATCATGATCAACTACCTTCTCTAATCTATTTTGAAAACTATTTAATTTTATTATATCTTAATTTACATCACTTGAAATTGTTTATTGTTACATGATTTTAATTTTTCACTTGTCAGAATATTTTTTAAAAAATTTAAAAATATTATTAACATCAGTTACATCAGATAACTAACTTGGAAGGCGTCTAGCATCTCAGACGATCCCGACGACTTACTGGGATTATATTCGTAAATATGACTTCTGTTTTTTTTTTGGTCACGAGAGAATGATTGTAATTTCATAAGGCTGTTAGGTTAGTTTTGCACTTAATTCAAGTTTGGGTATAGATTTGTAATCAAAATCATGTTTTGAATCATATTTGATAATTTTTCCTAAAATTTATTGGATTTAAAACATATTTTTATTGGAAAAACAATACAACTTGTTTATGGCTTGAATCTCGTTTTTTCTCGTATATATATATTTTTTGAAAAGGTTATAGAAAATCCTCAACATGATGCTTTCTGGTATAGATTTGTTATAATTTTCTAAGCTAGGACTTAAAGCTAAAGCAATTATCGATTGAAAAAGAAAAAGATCTTCGCATTAATTATTTAATTTAGCTTGTAAGTTGATAAATAAACAAAAAGAAGTTCTAACCTTTTTATATTAACTAATTACGGTTTCAAAAAATAATACAGTTTACGTTTATTTTCTACAATGTAAACAAATATTTTAAACTAAAAGTGTTTAAATCATGTTTGCATTGGGTCTAAATGGTGACATAGAAAATTAATGGGAATAATGAATATCTAATTCTTTTTTAAAAAATACGTCATCTATGAGAAAATATTTACTGAATATGTTTCATGTCATTCCTAAAATTTTGAAAAATTATAGAACAAAAACATTTTTTTTATCAAAATTGACATGGAACAAAAATTCATTTTCATTTTTTTTCTAAGTATTTTATTCTTATTCTAATGGTTATCAGTTATAACCATGTTTTCTAAGAGTGTTTTTTGTTTACAATAATATAAACTAAACTATGATATATGCACACCCGATTCGGCGAACCAGATCGGAGGTATAGAATCGACATAAAACATTGTAGAAGGGGAACTCCTAGCACCTTGTGCAAACTTGTCCGCCACTAGATTTTGAGTTCTTGAAATATGTCGGATCTTGAAAGTAGGAAAGAAAGTCTTACTTCGCTGAAACTCCTCTAAATGTGTAGCAAAAACTGGTCATTCTTCAGGTGATGACACCATCTTTACAGTTGAGAACAGCCTGTTGCGAAAACTACATCTGAAAAATTGAGGGTCTTCATGCATTCCATAGCCCATATCAATGCTTTACACTCGGCATGTAAAGCTGATAAACTTCTTCGGAGATTCATCGCCCCCATCATCTTCTCATCAGGACCAAAGGTTCTGTAGAACCATCATGTCATGTGAACCTATCTAGTTCCTTCCATGCACCGTCAATAAAGTAAATTCTACCATTGCCTATTGTTTGCCAATCAAAAGTGGGCAAAGCCTGGTGATTTCCTCCAGTAACCGTGAGTTGGGCGTCTGCACACACCTCTGCCTCCACTTCCGCTATCTGGAGTATTTCCTGTGAGTTACCAATTCTTTTAGTGTAAATTTTATCATTTCTGTTTTTTCAGATATACCCCAATATCCAAAGAAAGGAAGTGAAATCATGTTCTTTCGGGAGCCTCCAAAAGAGATAGTTCATGTTTATAAACACCGAGGCAGTAGGAAAAATCCTCACGGGAGATGGTATTTTCGATAGCGCCCATGTTTGTAGTGTCGGGGGACATTCAAACAGAACTTGATTAATGGTTTTGTCCTCTGCACCACAAATGTTACAATATTGATCATAGTCGATACCACGTGTTCTCAATTTTTTTTGCCACTGGAAGAATTCCTTTTATAGCTCGTCAAATAAAATGTTTCAGTTTTGGCGGGAATTCCAATTTCCAAGTATAACCTAACAACGGGTTCACATTTGGTCCATATGTAGCCATATTTGTTTTTTTATCCGGATATAAGAATTCTATTTTGTAATCTGTTTTAACAGTGTATTTCCCGGTTTCTGTGAACATCCACCCATAAGAATCTGGTCAATAAAACCGACTAACCGCCAATCCTAAGAGTTTCTAAAATAGAAGACAGAAGTCACTTTGAACTTTGAGTATCCACGCAACATACCTAAGACGTAATTAGGTTAGTTGAATATTTATGACTTGTATACTTTTTTTTAAAGAATGTTATGTACTATTGGTTTATATTTGTGAGAATTTCAAATTTATCCTATTTGTTATACCACTATTCATATTTACTTTTATCAAATGAATATTTTCATAAATCTTTTTTTCATTAAAGAGACTTTCTCCCCTTATATATATATACTTTGTTTTTATAGTTTTCAAATTATACCTTTTCAAACTCTAACTTTTTATTAAAAAGAATTTGATTTTTTTTTTCAAATTTTCTTTTGTGATTCATAAATTCTCTTTTAAACTATTTAAAAAATAATAATTTGAATAATTTATTTATATATTTATTAAAGTTCTAAACCTCACCCTCCAAAATCTCATCACTCAAATCTAAACTATTTAATATAGTTAATATATGATTATAAGTATTTATTTATCTATTTAAAACTAAAAAATATGATTAAAGTAAACATGCAATGTAATATTAGAAATGTCGTAGTTTAAACAATTTCTCTTTATCTATTTGCGGACCAGCTCAAATAAATTTTGGACCATGTGTTGAGTTTAATGTTTTCCCAAACTATTATATTATGGGTAAAATTTGTAAACAAAGCTTTAATCTATATGTATTTTAATAAATCCAGACCATTTGTTCTTACAGAAAATTGCAAAAAAATGACTTTGTGCATAGGCAGTTAAGCACTGTGAGCATATGTTTAAAGAAAGCGGGTTGTCACAGACTGATTTCTTCAGCAATCAGGACGTGCGGCCTTAGTTCCTTTCTACCCCGTGTAGTAACTAAGTTAGCCTTTCGGATAAGTCGCAACACTTAGAGAGAGAGTGATGGACAAATTTAGAGAGATGTCAGAGCTATGGAAGTGTTTTTCACTAAGTTTCTGAATGAATTTTACAATGGGACTTCACCCCTTTATATACACATCCACCTCCTCAACGGACGGTGCAGATCGAACCGATCTAACGGCCCAGATCTTTTCCTTCCTATGAAGTAACTTCAACATGAAGTACTTCACCCTTGAGTATCTTATCCCTTACATTATTTTATATTATCTTCTACTTAGATATTTTACAAAAGCTTAAGACTTAGGAAAATACTAAGTAAGGTCGGTTTTAACCCTCCTCGGTCCGACCCGTTTGTACATCAAAAGTTGGGGCGTGACAGGGTGCTGCCTATTTGATGTTTTTGCTGAATGCATGGAGCTTAGGAAAACATTAGGATGATTGACTTACCTCTATTTGATAATTTCTGTTAATAAACTACTAGATAAGTTTGGATATGAATTGTTAATATGAATTGTTTAGGTTATACTATAAGAGTTACTCAATTCAAAACTTACTCTTTAACATTTTGACTGCATTTCAATATGCAATTAGCCTTCGCCCGCAAACAATTCAAAGTCTTTCACATAACAATAATTGTTAACGAGAGATCTTATTTTCTCTGTCAAAAATACATACAAGCTTGCATTATTAGTTATTTCACTGTTATTAGTCAAGCAAAAAATTAAATGAGAAAATATTTATATCACGACTACATTCAGCCCACTCTTTACTGCAATGACTACGATACCCCCTCCTCTTTTTGTTTGCGTCTCCACCATTTTCCCTTATCAACTCAAGACTCATAAAGCTCCTCTCATCTTCATCATAACACAAAAAAATTATAACAAAGAGTTAAAAGAACTTGGTGTATATCAGATCTTGATATCATGGATCCTATCCACGGCTTTATTGGCACATCAAACATCTCACACAACACAAACCTTATGATCGCTGCAGCAGCCACCACAACCTCCTCCTCCTCGTCTTCCTCAGGCGGCTCTGGACCGAACCAGCTGAGTAGGTACGAAAATCAAAAGAGAAGAGATTGGAACACTTTCGGACAATATCTACGCAACCACCGTCCCCCGCTTTCTCTCTCCCGTTGCAGTGGTGCTCATGTTCTTGAGTTCCTCAGGTACCTCGACCAATTCGGCAAGACCAAGGTATACATATGTAACATATATACTTATGTATATAGACGTATCTCTCACATCAGTATGTCAATATGCTACTTTTGATACTTTCCGCTGAAGCTATAGATCCGAATTGTGAAACCCTATTTGTCTAATTTGGGTTTCTTTGACCTAAAAAATATTTGTATTAATGTTCATCTGGCTTCTTGTTGATCATAGTAGATGTTATTATGATTTTTTTCAAAGAGCTGAGTCTCACTGATCTAGGTTTTTTTTTTGATGATCTTAACTTAAGTTATATATAAATCACATACTTTTTATCTATCACCGACAAATTGTGTTTCAACATCATGATTGTTTAATGAGTATATATATTTTTTCCAAAGGTTAACCTGTATCATCAACTAATATATGTAATATATGATCTATACACGATTATTTCAATATATGGTTGTTTATATACAAAATGTTATCTCGATCATTATAAGAAATTGTACTCATAATATGCTTCTTCATCTGGTGGTTGTATATATTCAACTTGTCTAATATAATGTATGTTCAATAGCGTTACGTATTGAAAAATGCTGATTTTAGACGCTAATAATTCGATCTTGTATCTCAAGGTTCACATGCAACTATGTCCGTTCTTTGGACACCCAAACCCACCAGCACCATGTACCTGTCCACTCAGACAAGCGTGGGGCAGCCTCGACGCACTCATTGGCCGGCTTCGAGCCGCTTTTGAAGAGAACGGTGGTTCACCAGAGACCAACCCTTTTGGTGCACGAGCCGTTCGACTCTACCTAAGGGAAGTGCGAGACTCGCAGGCTAAAGCGCGTGGGATCAGCTATGAAAAGAAGAAGCGGAAGCGACCTAATCAGGCGCCGCTACCACCTTCTGATCAGCCGATGATTTCGAGTAGCCCTAATTTGCAATAAGTCATATCAGTAAGATATGTTTCAGTCAACTACGTTTCCTTACAGCTTTATATAGTATTTGTCACTGACGAACATGCACGAGTTATCTAAAAGCAGCACGCCCTTCTTCGTAATCTTTTTAATTTGGCAAGCTAAAGAATTTTATGTTGTATTGAAATAATGTTTTTTTTCGTTCCGCCTCGCATAAAATATGTTTTTGTACTTTATTTTTCTATTCAATACATACATCATTATTATTTTTTAGTAATCCATACACCATTATTCTATTCAAGGGTTTGTATTTTTTTAATACTATTTGAAGTTTAAACCAAAAATATTATTTCAAAAACATATTTTTATAAAATATATCCGTGTGGCCAGTGGAATTTGAACTCAGATTCATCTTATTGAGTTTATTCCCTCAAGTACCATTAGACTATACCACTGGTTATATATTGTTGATATATATTATCTATATATATTCTTGTTTTTACCAAAAAAAAAGAATGTATTGTTTAACACCATATTATTTGTTCCTGCGTATAAGTAAATCCTCACAATCGGCATCTCTATTGGTAGAACAGTAGAACCAACTAAAAATGTTTGGGATCATATAAGTTGAATACTAATGTAGTTTGATAAGACGTGACGAAAGAAGATTTGCAGAATCAAATGTTTGTGCGTGTCTTTTCATGCTCTGTGGATGCTTTCCTTTGTGGCGTCCAAATATGGTAGGGAATTGGCAAATCACTCAGTTTCTTTGTCCTTGTTACACTCTTTTTCAGTTACTTCTTAAACCTATTTAGCATTTAATTATTCACGTGCGGATATTTTTTTTAACTTTATGAATGTAAATTTTTGACATTATTATTAAAGTTTTAAATATATGAATTGCATTTTAGTGTTATATATTGTCTAACTCTATAATTTTATTGCTCAGTTATTTATTCGACAATATTAATATATTAGTTAATTGTTTTACAAATTTTTAATTTTTATTAATTGTTATGCATGCATAAAATACATTTCCAAAATTTATTTGGTTATAAGATAGAAAGGATATGTGTGTCATATGCGCATAAAATACATTTTTAAAAATGTGTATTTGGTTATATGATAGAAAGGATATTTGTTAAGGATAATTTATATTTTCATATGGGAAATTTGCCAAATATGACTCAAAACTTGATTTGAAATGCAAAAGTAAACCCAAACTTGAATCAAATGCAAAAGTAACTTAAAAGGCTATTGAAATTACAACTAACTCCTTGTGAACAAATAAAAAACGCGATTTTTTTACGTTTTTAGCCCTCGCAAGTCGTCTGCCCAGACGACTTTCAAATAAGTCGTCCAGACGACTTAACTGAAAGTCGTCTGGGTCAGTTTTTCTTAAAAATAATTTAAAATTTTTGTAATAAATATTTTGATAAATGAAAAATTGGTATTATGTAATTACCATATGTCTTAAGAGATATAAATTAAGATATAACAAAAGTCAGTTGTTTTCAGCATAGATGAATGAAAGTAGTGTGTCATGATATTCTTTAGTTTAG